CCTGAGATTGCTGAGATGTTGTAATGGCTCTTTTTAGCTGCGAGACATGGAACACCGGATGTATGGCACTGTGTGGAGGTAATTCCAGCTTGTAAGCAACTCTCCCCACTCTCTTTATCACCTTATAAGGTCCAAAAAATCGTGGAGCTAGTTTCTCGTTCCTGTGCTTAGCCACCGAGTGTTGACGATAAGGCCTTAGCTTCAAATACACTAACTCCGCCACAGTAAATTCTACATCTCTTCGGTGTTTGTTTGTCCCTTTAACCATTCTCAACTGTGCCATTTCAAGTTTTTCCCTCAACTCGACTAACAAGCTGTCTCTATCCTTCAACAATTCCTCTACCTGAGCATTAGCAGTAGGAGTATCCCCATAACGAAAGAGACGAGGTGGTTCTCTTCCGTATACGATAGAGAAGGGAGTACACTTACTTGCAGAGTGGTAGGACGTGTTGTACCAATACTCGGCCCAAGGAAGTCATTGCAACCAAGTGGTGGGTTTCCTTCCCGCAAAGCACCTTAGATAGGTCTCGAGACATCGGTTCACCACCTCGGTTTGACCGTCTGTTTGTGGATGGTAAGACGTGCTCTTAAGCACTGTGGATCCTTGGAGCTTGAACAATTCTGACCAGAAACTGCTCAAGAAGACCTTGTCACGATCTGATACCAGAGTCTCCGGGAAGCCATGTAGCTTCACCACTTTGCGCACAAAGACTTCCGCTACCACCTTTGCCGTGAATGGATGCTTAGAGCAATAAAGTGACTATACTTGCTCAAACGATCCACCACCACGAGGATAACGCTGAATCCTTTAGAAAGGAGAAGCCCTTCCACAAAGTTGAGACTGATGTCAGACCAAATCTGCTTCGAAATTGGCAGAGGAGCTAGTAACCCTGCGGGGGAAAGTGTTCCTGACAGTTTTGGCAACGTCGGATGTATTCCACCACATCCTTACACATCCCTCTCCAGGAGATTTCTTGCTTCAATCTCTTGTAATTTTTCAAAGCGCCTTCATGACCCCAGTCTCACTCGAATGGAACTGCTGCAGCAGCTGTGGAATGAGTGAGGATCCCGCTGGCAACAGCAAGCATCCTTGCTTGTACAGAAGTCTTTCGTATACACTGTACTCCAAGAGGTCTTTCTCCCCTCTCTCCACTCTTCTCAACAACTCTCCCAATTCAGTATCAGCTCTTACTTGCTCTGTCAGAACCTTCTTGTCTAGGTTTAGAGGAGCCATCAGGGTGATGTGTTTGAGTTCCTCTATGTGAGGCCTTCTTGACAAGGCATCCGCCACCCGGTTCTCAACTCCAGGTTTATACTCGATCCTGTAGTTTAAACCTATTAACTTGGCGGCCCAACGCTACTGCACGGAAGACACGACCTTTTGATCCAGCAAGTGCTTCAAGCTACGTTGATCCATCTTGATGATGAATTTCTTCCCCGTAAGATAGTGTTTCCACTTGGACATTGCCTTCACGATCGCAAGTAATTCCCTCTCATAGACAGATTTAACCCTCCCTTGAGTAGAGAAGGCTTGGCTAAGGAAAGCAATTGGCCTCCTCCCTTGCGAGAGCACAGCTCCTATCCCTGCACCAGAAGCGTCAGTTTCGATGGTGAATGTTTGGGAAAAATCAGGTAATACCAGTACTGGCAAGGAAGTCACTGCGGCCTTGAGTTTGTTGATGCTTCCTCGGCTGCAGATGACCACTTAAACCCTTCCTTTTTGAGGAGCTCTGTCAACGGTATAGCCATGATGCCATAATCCCTTACGAACCTCCGGTAATAACCCGTGAGTCCGAGGAATCCCTGCAGCTCCGTCACTGATCTTGGTTTTGGCTAAGACAACATGGCTTCAATTTTCTCTGGATCAGCTGCCACGCCTTCGCCTGAAATCCGGTGCCGCAGATATGCAACTTCCTTGTTCTTGAAAGAGCATTTCTTGGCGTTAGCATAAAATTGGTGTTGCTGCATCAACTCCAACACTAATTCCAGGTGCTTTAGGTGAGCATTTAAGTCTACACTATACACCAGGATGTCATCAAAGAACAATAAAACAAACCTTCGAAGATAAGGCCGGAATAGGTCATTCATAACACTCTAGAAGGTTGATGGAGCGTTGGTAAGGCCGAAAGGCATAACCAGAAACTCGTAGTGTCCTTGGTGAGTCTTGAAGGCAGTCTTCTCAATGTCACTATGCTTTATACGAATCTGATGGTATCCTGATTTTAAATCCAGCTTCGAGAAGACTGCTGCACCGTGGAGTTTATCCAACAGCTCCTCTATGATCGGGATGGGATACCTATCTAGAATCGTAGCCTTGTTGAGGGCTCTGTAATCCATGCAAAACCGCCAACCTCCGTCCTTCTTCTTAACCAGCAGAACCGGGCTTGAATACAGACTAATGCTCGGCTGGATTACTCGCGCTTCAATTATTTCTTTGACCAGTTTCTCAATCTCATTCTTCTGGATGAAGGAATGTCTGTAAGGCCGGATGTTGATAGGCCCTACCCCGTCCTAAAGGGTGATGGCGTGCTCCCTATTCCGTGTCAATGGCAGCCCCTTCTGCATACTGAACACTCTCGTGTACTTCTCCAAGATCCCCTATAGCTCCCGAGACTGCTCTTGATCCCGTGGTGGACTTGCACTAGAGAATAAAGCGGTGAGTTCCAACAAGTACGCATCTCCATTATGTTGGAGTATCTTCTCCATGGACTGTAGTGACACCTGCTCTCTACTGAGATTGGGATCCTCCATGATGGTAACCCACAGTCCCTTGATCCTCCAACTTAGAGTACTACGCAGCCAGTTGATGTGTGTATCCCCCAAGGAAGCCAGCCATGTATACCCCAGCACCACATCTGTGTTTCCCAAATCAAAGCACAAAAACTCCTCTACTAGTTCTACTCCTTGGATATCAAGAAGTAGACCCGAGCATTGCCTCTTGCCATTGATTATTTCACCTCCTCCTACTCGAACTCCGAACCCCCTCGAGTCTGTTTGAGTCTGCTTCAATTCTCGTACGAGCTTCTCTGAAATGAAGTTACTCGTAGCTCCAGAGTCTATTAGGACTATCACTTCTCGATCTTTAATCTTGCCCTTCATCCTCATTGAATTTACTGTGGTCAACCCCTCCATGGACTGTAAAGATAGAGTCACTAACTCTTGTGGCTCTTCTTCTTGTTCTCCCGTATCTGGCTCATTTTGCTCCTCAGCTCCCTTTTGAATGGACCCCTCTTCTTTTTCAAGTTCTATACACTTGAGCTTCTGCTTGCAACGATGCCCATGAAACCACGGTTCCCCACAAAACTTACACGGATTAGGGCCTTTCGAAGAGCTTCCCGTCACCATTTTCTTGTTATCCTTGGCATACGTGAAACCCGGATTACGATTTATGGGAGTAGTGACATAAGTGTTTTAGGGCCTCGTCTGGTTTCGGTTAAAGTAGCTGACTTGATCCCCTTCCTGTGATCAATCAGCTTCGCGATATCCACAATCTCTGCCATGTTCGCAGGTCGGCATCTTACCACTTGATCCCGAAGGCTCTTTCTCAACCCTCGTAAGAATGCAGATTCAAGAACATCATCCGGTACATGTGGCAATTCAACAGCTAGGGCTTCGGAACCTTTCCCGGTACTCTTCCATGCTTCCCTTCTGAAAAATACAGAACAAGTGGTCCACAGATGAACAACCACAGCTTTCCTTAAATCTTACTTTGAACTTTTCCTTGAAGTCCTTCCAGGCTACGATGTGCTCTCTCTCCTGAGCTCCCCGCCACCAGGTCACTGCCGCGTCTATGAGACACGTTACCGCGTGGTCCAACTTCTCAGCCTCTGCGGTCCCGTTCATGGCAAAACACTTCTCCAGCCGAAAGAGTCAATCATCCGGGTTGTTTCCCTCATACAACGGTAGATCTACTCGCTTAGACGGAACCTCCGTGGAAGCTGGCAGTAGCTCCACCCTTAGCTCTCGAGCCGTAGGAAGCGCGAAGCCATCCGTGGGTCTCAGCCGAAGCTCCTCGTTAAGTCGGGGTATGATCCCTTCCCCTCGGGTTCGATCTGAGTGTTGTTCCGGCGTAAAGGGGGCAGCTTGGTTCGGTGTCGCGGATATAGGGCTTGCAAACCCCATCGGCGAAGCTCCGGTCATCAGATAGTCTATCTTCTTCATCATGTCGAACATCGCTTGTCCGACCCAAAGTGTATCCTTGTCTTGCTTTTCTAGACGTTGATCAACGGTCAGAGCTGAAACCGATGTCTCAGGTACGCTCGTCTCGAGTTTAATCGACGCAGATCTGGGCTCAGCGCCGCTAACGGTGGGAGCATTCTTTATTTCCTCTCGACGTCTCTCACAGTCACTCTCAGTGAAAGCACCAAATGATAAGACCTAAACATTACCAAGAGTGATAATAGATAACTCGAACAGAATTAGAGTAAGATAAGAGAAGAAAGGATAAGATAAGAGAAGAGAATATTTAATATTTGATCTTCTTAGATGATTCAACCTTAATGGGGAAATACTGTTTAAATAACATTCGCCACAATAGTAAAATGACAATGCATTACAATATTAAAATCTTCTCACAGAACGAAAGTCTTTACTTCACTTTTTTCTTTCTTCAGCCACTTTCAGCAACCTTCTTCTTCTCTATCACTTGAGCTCTCCTCTTCTGTGATCGTGGCTTCTTTCTCATAAACGCCAATGGCACACGCAGCCTATCACAAATCTATTAGCAATGCAACATGATGGGAATGTGATGACTGATGGTGTTCTAGGAAACTTTCACTCTACAAATCATATAAAATCTAAAACATTTGTCAAAAATGCTTTCAGAAATTCATCATGGGAATGCTGACAAACGAATCCATAACACTCTCAAGGTACAATCAAAGACACTGACTTTACAATTATTGTTCTGTTTTTGCGGCTCTCAAGATTATCCATAATCAGTTTTGCTCTGTTTTTTGTTTTGTAGCTGCTCCTTGTTTAGAGAAGCTAGAGTTTAGAGATGTATTTGCTAAAGAAGTAGATGGACAATAAAATTTCGGCAAAGATATGCCACAAAAATCATATGTTGTGATATATTTGTAACAGCAATACAAGAATGAAACCAAAATTGGAGTTTCTTGCAGTTTTATTAGCATCAAAAATCCATAAGCGAATGAGTTTCCCATGGGTACTGCGTGATTGAGTTTGTTTGTTCAACCAGATTTCTGAAGTTGCTTGATGTGTGTGATCTGTTTCCCTGGGTTTAATCCCTTTGGACATGCACGAGCACAGTTCAAGATTGTGTGGCATCGATACAGCTTGAACTCGTCGTTAATGGCTTCAAGTCTTTCACTAGTGTACTCGTCTCGGCTATCGCTTATCCACCTGCATATGTGAAAGAAGTCTCTTGTTACAATACCTTGAAAGATCAAAACTTTACTTACAGAAACAGAGACAATTAGATTGTAGTTGAATTTGCGGCTTTCTCTAGAGACGTTTGAAGAAGCACAAAAAGTCATTAGCACCTTCCTCTAGAGGTCTCTCTCGTCCATGTCAGTTAAACGAAGAGCTAAACCACACTAAAGCCAATGGAGCAAAAGGAACCTAAAAGTTCCGTACCGTACATAATGACACAGATACAATTAGATAGTTGAACTTGCGATTTTCTACAGAGACATTCGAAGAAGCAAAATGAGTCCTTAGCACCTTCTCCTCCATTTCAGTTAAACAAAGAGCTAAACTACACTACATCTAAAAGGAGCGAAAAGAGCTTATATGACCATACGTGATGAACTAATGTAAACTATGGATAAGCCAAATCTTATTGCTCAAGCCGTTAAGCATATCTCCGAAGCAGATGAACTCTTAAAGCAACAATGGGTCCTTAGCACCTTCCTTCAGAGCCAAACCATCTAACGAAGTTCAATCAACCTAAGGACCTAGGACCATATATAGCTTACCAATGTACACTACAAAAGCCATTCAAAATATTCACAGCATAATCAATCTTATTGCTTAAACCTATCAAATTCTCAACCAAATTCTCCGAAACACCTTGATTACGGAATCCCATTATGAAAAGCAAGATTTTTGTTTACCTGTTGGCGTGGAGCAAAGCGGCTGGGCCAAGATAAGACTCAGGGTTCCACCAATAGCTAGGGCAAGAAGTGCTGCAGCAAGCGCAGAGAATGCACTCGTACATTCCATCAAGCTTAGCTCTATCCTTCTTGCTCTGTAGAATCTCCTTCCCAGGAACAGACGCTGGGTTCTTCCTCTTCAACCACGGCTCGATACTCTTGTACTGGTTATAGAAATTGGTCATGTCCACCACCAGATCCTTAATCACGAACATATGCGGCAACGGCGTGATTGTCGTCCCCGACGATCCCGATTCGATCTTCGTCAAACAAGCGAGACCGTTGCATCCGTCGATGTTCATCGCGCACGAACCGCAGATGCCTTCTCGGCACGAGCGACGGAAAGTGAGCGACGGATCCATCTCGTTTTTGATCTTAATCAAAGCATCTAGAACCATCGGACCACAATCCTTGAGATCGATCTGGTAATCCTGAAGCTCAGGCTTCCCAGGATTATCTGGATTCCATCGATAGATCTGAAACGTCTTCAGGTTCGCTCCTCCGCCGCCGGTAGAAGCTTTCGTTTGTGCTTCTGCTCCCGATGATGTCCATCGGGCCGGAATCAATCGCGCCGCCGTAGCTAACCTCGACGGTTTCGTTCCAACAACTCTTCCGATCAAACCGAACGCCATAGTCTCGGAGAGGCAGAAAATTATTCAGAAATGTCTCAGATTTTTTTATTTTAACAGTCTTTATTTTTAGAAAATTGATTAATTTCAATAAATTAACTAATGAATGATTAGTTAATAATTAGTGAGGAAATAGCTTCGTCTACGTCGTCATCACAACCGTTGGGTCAAAGCTAAAACAATCCTGACCGTTTATGGAAAAACCTACTCAGGCCCAATGGATATGTTTTGAAACGCGCGTGCTTGTCTCAAGAAGTGTAGAAACAATCTAACACGTGGCAATATAACAAAACGGTAATTTATATAACAAGGAGAAAAGCGTTCCGTTTCGATACAGTACACAAACAATTCGTGCCGTTTTCAGATTTTCTCAATCTGTTTTAGGTGTTTTGTGTATTCAAAGCTTCAACAACAAAAACACGTAGTAGTAACCTATATTTAAACCTCAGAAAACGCTAATCGGTTCTCAAATTTCTACTTCTTTTTTAACGTAATCAAAATCATTTTAGAAAAAACAAAAACAGAAGAAAACAAAAAAAAAATCTGTTTGTTTATAGATCAATCTTCATGTCCTTGTTGCATCCTTTACACAATCTTTGAATGGCATCGGTAAGATCTTTCTCATTTTTTCACATTTTTTGTTAATTCGCCATCTTCTTCCATTTTCTTTTCGTTGATTCCTGTGGAATATAATACATATAATTGATTTTGTGTGTGTGTTTTTTTGGAATATCTGAAAAAAATCAGAATAATCAACCGAGACAACAACAAGATCGACCATTACCAAAATTTGGAGAATGGGATGTGAACGATCCAGCATCAGCCGAAGGGTTCACGGTTATATTCGCTAAAGCTCGAGACGACAAAAAGACAAACGCTAGTGGTCGTGCCACGTCTCAACGCCGTGACAACAACAATAACAAAGGGCAAGAAGCACCTACGGTAACATTTTCAGGACTAATTTTACACAATCGAAAAGATTAGCCTTTTTCTGTTATGTTTTAGGAAATACGAGGACTAAAGTGAAAAATTTTGCTATTCTCTATTGCAGAAGAAATGGTTCTGCTGTTTCTGAGGAACAAACAACAACGACATCAAGAAAAGCTGAGTCAAAATCAACATTTGTAAAATCAGATTGATAGATCATCGTAAAAAAACAGCTTTCATATTCACTGAATCTGTATAAAAAACTTATGATTACAGAGCTTAAAAAGACTGATTTTTCGATCTAGATTTAGAGTTCACACAACATACTTACTATACTTTACACAATATCAACGCCTCTTAAGCCACGGTTTGGTGAATCTTGATCTGACCCGTTGGTACTCGTCTTGTTCTTGAACGATCTCTGGCTGAAAATCCGAGAAACGGTTTTCCCGGGACGTGGAACCGGTCTCGAACCGCCTTCAAACCGGTCATGTTTATTGTCTAGATCATTTGATAGTTTCTTGACTAGCTCCACAAAATGTCTTCTGAATGTTGGATATCTTGATACCGATTTGGTCAATCCTTGAAGCCTACACCAAAAACCAAACACAGAGATTATTAAACCACGAACAAAGATGAGTTCTCTTTTGTTTTGTTTGTCTTTACCTGCGAGCAAAGGCGTCAAGCTCGGCTTTTCTTAGTTCGGTCAAAACAGGAGATTCAGAGTCGGTCATGGAGCTTTTGAGTCTCTCTGAATCTCCAAACAGCAACACCAATTTCCCAAGATACTCTTCTTCTTCTTCGGATAGATTCGCTGCTTCGATCTGGTCTTTAAGTATCAGAAACGGATTCAGAAACCAATCAAAGAACGCATCTTTTGGTCGGTTCTTTGAGGTTATCTCCGTAACACCGTCACCTACACACACAAAAAACGCAGAACCAAACAATCCTGATTCCAGATATGCTTAAAGATTACTGTTTGGTTTGTTTCTTGTTGAAGAGATTGCAACATACCGAGTAACAAACCGGTGGAATTGGATTTGATAGAGCGTAAAAGCTCGTGAAGAAGGGAATAAGCAGGCAAGCCAATGCTAATCACTTGGCTGCCTTTGCTAGACTTAGCTTCTTCGATGTCCTTTGAGTTTATAATCCCTCTCGTTACCATAGTCTCTCCGTACTTTCTACATTCTACAAAAAGAGCTTCAAGAAGCTGCAAAACAAAACATAACAGAATTTGATTTTTTATAACAGAGATAACCAAAAGATGTCATAGATAATGATGGTATTAGAGAGATTGTGAGTACATCAAGAGGCTTGAGGTCAATCATTGGGCCTCTGTTTGATCCTCCTCTTGATGGAGTTGTCTTGAAAGAGTTTGGTCTTGAAAGCCCACCAGCAGTACTACCGCCATCTTCGATTCTTCGATACTTTGGTCTGTAAAAACAGAAGCAGAAACTCAGAGAGAGAGAGTGAGAGAGAGAGAGAGAGAGAAATTGCTAGATAAGCCATAGGAGACAGACCTTGGGAAGCAAGAACCTTCAGGCATGTCAAGAACATCGTTGCTATACTCATCGTAAATCGAAAGTGAAGCAACGACATAGCAGAGACCGAAGTAGAACGAAGATTCCTGTGTTGCGGACAAGAAACAATCAAGACTTAAAATATCATTAAAGAATCACACTTTTCTCAAATCAACCTTGAAGGGTTTTCTTTGATGATAACCTGATACGAGATTACACCAGCGTAAGCACCAAGGAAGACACTAGAGACCACAGATCCTAAAACCGCTCCCACGACAGCTAAAGGCCAGAGTAAGATCACAAGGCCTGCGATTGGGACACACATTGTCTCCAAGAAAGGACCTTCACGTCCAATAAGGTCATGAAACAAACGACGCCAGCCTTTAAACAACATGTAAGGGCTTTTATATAAGGCTACGAGTGAAATCACAGGGAAATCAACAAAAACTCCAAGAACCACAACGATCAAAGCGCCTGGGATTTGGAGTAACCTAAGAAATAAATACACAAAGCTCAAGCTGTAAGAAAAAGAAGGACGATCAAGGATTAGTAATAATACAACATAAGAGTTTTGTAGGACCTTATTTCATAATAATGACGATCTGCACTAGATGTTCTAAGATCATCCATAAGCGAAAAGTAGGAGTGAAAGCAAACGTCTTTAAAATCGCAGACAACGGTGAAGCTCCCTTTAACAGTGCTCCATGTTCCATCCTAAACAATTGAGTAATTGTGAATGAATGATATAAATCCACAGGACATGAAAAAGGAGAAAGAAACATATGTAGAGAACTTACGTAAAAGCAATGTAAAAACGGATTAGACTTCCCTTCGCCAACAGCATCGAACGTGGCGAATATTGGGGAAAGAAAGCCATATAAAGCTCCCCCGAGGATACTTCCTATGATACTAACCACAATCCAGAGAATGACGCCGAGAGGAAGACATAAGCACAGGAAAAGCTTCAAGATTGGTCCTAACTGTTTAGCACTGAAGCCATATATATACAGTTCAGTATCGAAACAAGTAACAATGATGTTATTGTAGAGAAGAGAAAGCACCTCAAGATCGAATATAGAGTCCAAACGGCGTGTACTGGTAAAAGGCCTAAGATGATTGCAGAGTTTCCAAAAGCCACGATAAGGCATATAAGAGGGCAGAAAACGATACCTAAGCAAACAAAGAAGAAGCAGAGAAACGTGTAAAAACGATCATTGCCACAAAATTGGTGAGCAAGACTTGTAAAAGAACTTCTTTCAATAAAAAAAAATGAAACTTTATGGTATTGAAGAACACTAAATTGTTCACCAGATGAAAGTAGAAATGCTAAATTCATACACTTTCACTGACTTTGGAAGCACTTGAGAAATGAATCTCTTAGATGAACACTGAGCCACTGAACTAGTGAGCAAGATTCGTAAAACAGAACAAGTGCTCACTTCAGTTAAAAAGAGGGACTTTCTGGTATATTGAAGAACCCTAAACTATATAAATCTGCTAAATTCATGTAATTTCACTAACTGTGGAAGCACTTGATGAATGAATGAATGAAACAATAAAATACTCTTTAGATGAACCCTAAGGGAAGGGACCCTAATCATAAAATAATCAGCAATTTCTTCAGGTCAACATCACATTACGAAGTCAAAATCCACGACTGTGCCAGAAGATAGATTAAAAATACCCGAATAAGAAAATTTCAAAATTTGAACTTAGTAAAAGAAAGGACTTTAGCAATCGAGCAACCATGTCGTCGAAAATCGAAAGGAATATGATATTCCCCGAAAAACCCACCATCAAATTTGAGTCTGAAACACGAAAAGCAGAACAATTTGAAGTGAAGATTTAGTGAAATCTCTTACCTTTAATGATACCCAGAAGAAGTAATCCAGTGAAATAAGGAATGAAGAGTATGAATTGCCACAGAGAAGACAAGATTCCCGTTGGAGGCTCCATTGAATTATCTTCTCCTTCTTCTCTTCAAAATTACCCAGAAAAATAAACAGAGACCCGTCAGTCAAAATGTCACATTTATGAACTGATTTCGAACCCTAGAATCAGAGAATATGAATCATCGAGAAAACAAAAACAAAAGAGTAAAGCAGAGAATGAGAGAGAAACCGACAACTGTCACAGACACGACAAAGAAACACAAGAAGTAATCTTCTTTCCGAGGTTTTTCGAAATATCTATTATGTTTAAATTACAAATTGAACAAACAAGACACGAAAGAATCGAGAGAGAAGAAAGTGTCTCACATGGGATTTAAACGGTTAAGAAACCGTCTTTTCTAGGGATAAAACCCCAAATTTAAAATAAATGAAACCTATTCAACGCAAGAACACGAAGAAAGCAAAGAAGGTAAACTGTTTTCCTGTTCTTCTGCTGATAATCCTTATGTTTCTTGTTGATCGGTTTTTGAGTTTTTTAAAGCTTTTTGCTTACATATCTCCTCGTATTGAGAGAAGCAGGAGAAAAAGGTAAAAGAGAAAACGACACGAACAAATGACACTTCAGCGACAGTTTAAAGAATCACAACATCATCAATTTTTTTTATTATTTACTTTTAAATTAATCGGATATAAAGAAAAGAAAAGGTAGGAGAAGTGCTCCTTGATAGTTGTTGATGCCTCTATGGTTTTTTGAACTTTACAAATCATGAACGGTTTTTTATTTTAAAAACGAATCCGAGTATGATGATGTTTTTTAACTATTTAATAAGATAGAGAATCTGTATTTTCAACAACAAAAAATAAGATGTAGAGCTTCAACTTTTTTTTATGATATAAATAGATGTTTTAAATATATATGTAAATATTTGGAAAGGAGACTATTGTTGTGTAAGTGGGACAAATCTTTTGCGGTAGTCTCTGAGTAGTGAAGACTATTAGTGTTACAAACAATTTCTCACATGTACGAAGATGAAGACGATTACTTGTATCTTTTTTTTTTTTTTTGTCTTTGCGATGATTTTGAAGTAGTTAATTAAATCGATTTATCCTTGCTACTTATACTGAGATTTTAAAAAATTGCAAATGGATCCGACCTTTGAAGGAAAATTGTATTTTTAAGAATATCTAGAAAATTTTAAGGTTGAAAGTGAGATATCTTGTATCTTGAAGCTCGAACAGGGATCACACGAACCCCTACGTGGTGTTATGGCCCAAAGAGAGTTGGTGTTACCCATTAACTTGTTTGGGTTTATGTATGTATAGTTTAAAGGGTTTATGTATGTATAGTTTAAGTTTAAACACTAAACTTTTTTGTATAATTTGTCTTAACATTTTTTTATATAAAAATAATTCGTTTGCCGTCAAAAAAAATAAAATAACAATTCGTCTATAAATATGATTTTTATCTCATATAAGGAAAAATTATCTTTAAAAAAATGAAAAAATCAACCTCTACCCCATAAAAGACTAATACTTTTTTAACATTTGCTTTAAAAGTGTTCATAGCTGGCTCTCCCAATCATTTTAAAGCAAAATCTTAAATTTGTAAATGAAACTAAATTAAGCATCATTGCAATCATATTCTAAAGAAAGTATAAAACTTTTTTTTAATATATCAGTGTAATGATTTCGTACTAGTCGATATAAAGAAACCATATTCAGCCTAAAACCATAAGCTTTTTATGTATCTATATCAAATGAAAACCTCTGTTTAAAGACTTGACTAAATATGAGTTTAGAAAATACGATGATATACACAATTTTTTTTTAAAAGCCAGAATTACTGTGGTAGTTTCAAGGTTCATTCATATTAGGAGTGACAAACTTTGTATAGTAAAAAAAAACCACAATCATGTTATAACTTTGAAATGATACAAATTTCAAAAGCAAAACATTAATATATAAATACAACTATCTTAGTTTATTACTTTATTGTAGACGGATCATGGTCAGTTTTGGACTAGGCCAAATGAAACATTTGTCTTGATCTCCAAATTTTAGAAGTCTATTTCAGAAAAAATTAATGTATATATCTGAGACAACAAAAAGATGACAAATTTTTATTGCACCGTTTGTCCTCCAAGGAAGCCGCCCCTGCCTAGGCTTAAGAAAAACTTTTGAGAATGGTTCTGGTTTATATAAGTGAATATGTTCATCAATCATGATCTGTCTGATCATTTCTTACTTCTACAACATGCAGCTCAAGAATCTGCTTGAATAGTTTTTGGATTAAAGCCGTGTATCGTGGTGTATATGTAGATGATTCTTCTTCTCCATTTTTGTTCATTTCAGGAGAGCGTGACAGCAATCCTCAATCATTGTCACATAAATTCTATGTGTTTGGTCTTTTTTACGCGGGCATAAATAAACCATATTCAGCCTAAAACCATAAGCTTTTTATGTATCTATATATATATATATATAATGAAAACTTCTGCTTAAAGACTTGACTTAAGATGAGTTTAGAAAATACGATGATATACACAAAGGTATAATCATGTTATAACTTTGAAATGATACAAATTTCAAAAGCAAAACACTAATATATAAATAAAATTATTTTGATTTACTGTAGGAGGATCACAACCGGCTAAGTCAAGCCAAATGAAACATTTGTCTTACCTCCTAATTTTTAGTGATCCATTTAAAAAAAAAATTAATATATATAACATTATTAATGTTTTATAGTTTGTTGACAGAAGCCCACAACATTTCTAAAGAGCCTAATTCAGTAAAAAAGATAAATTCATAAATAATTAACAAATTAGCTGAATTGTGTTTTGTTTAGCATTTTCTATAAATAAAAGAGAAAAAAATGCAAGAAGTATTTTTTCAAAAATTATAGATTATTTTTAGTTTACTTTTTGTTGTTGAAAAATTGTTTTTCATTTAGCTTTTTTAACATATTTTTATTTATATGAGAGTTTTTTCAGTTTTTTTATAATATACTTTGTGATCGTAATTTTGTAATCAGTTTTAAATTCCCAAAAATATTAAAGCCGACTCTGACACTAATATATGAAAATATATGTATGAACAAAAAAACAATGGTGTTAAACAATTCTAGTATTTGAATAGTGTCAAACAATTTCTTTTCCAGAGTTATGTTATAATTTTAGATAATAAAATTTTAGGTACAAAATTAATGAACTTAGATCAAATAAAAAGTGAAAAAAATATCTTATTAAAATAAAATTAGGTTTTTAACTTATGACTTTTAGTTAAAATGTCATATGTATTAACTAAAATAAAATATTTAATAATTAGAGATATCAAAATATAGAGAAACATTATAATTAAAGTAAAAAAAATGTTGAGAAAAATATTTTTTCTCTATTCTCTCTCTTCGTGTTTCGTGCTAAACCTAGTTTCTTCCCTTCAGGCAACCTCCATGGCCGGAAATACCTCACTGCGGCCACCTCCGGATCTGCCAAACCCTATCCCCCTCTTGCCAACTCTCACTTCCCACTGCTTTCCCCTCCCCCTGCCTCTTCCGCTATTTGGTCAAGATCTTTCAAGGCCCCTTCTGGAACTTGGACATTGGCCACAACAATGCCTCTTACTACTAAGTCCACTCAGATGGTTATTGATACTACTATGGATACCCCAACAGATTTGGGTATCACTGGTGAAACCTCTACTTCGCTTCCCTCAGGATCTGAAGATTCTACTATGTATGAAGTTCTCGATGTTGTTGCAACGGATGTTCCTACTTTCACGGACGTGGTTCCTAGCTGTGCTTCTCAGCCTTTATCTTCTCCTGATTTAGCAGATCCCACCCATTTCGGGTCAGATCTGGTTTCTAACTTAGGCGGTACGGGTGTGACTTCCAAGGATCTCCTCCAAGCTCCTCCCCCAGTTCTGCAGACTCAAGAGGACTCAATCCAGCTCCCGACGAGTCCCCAATACTCCCAAGATGAGCTAAAGAGCTCCCAAGAGAATGTGAATTCCTGGGCTGCAAAGCTTCAGCAGTCTGTGGACCGTGCTCTGAAAAAAACTAGTTCATCTTTGCTTACTCTTGCTGGAGTTCCCAGAATAAAAATCCCAGATTTTGTCTTCAAACGAGGAGCAGACCTTCATCATGACTTCGTGCTGGGCATCTTTATGGGCAAAACTCCCTCCTTTGGCCGTATCCAAAGTGTCTTAACCCACATCTGGGGCAGAGCGTGAAGCTTCAAATATACCTGCGACCTGATTCAAGGTTAATGCTTGTGAGAATTCCAAACTCCTCTATTAGAAAAAAGATTGTGGATCAGGAAATATGGCACATCGGAAGCTCACTCTTCTATGTGGCTCAGTGGTCTGCTGAAGTTGCAGATAAGCCTCCTTTGTTTACCTCTATCCTGTTGTGGGCTCATGTCAAAGGAGTCCCGTTTGATCTCTACACTCAGGAAGGGCTCGGGCGTGTGGCAGACCTGCTTGGTCTTCCTGTGGAGTGTGATGAATTTACAAGAATAATGGTTAACATTAATATTGTGCATATAAAGGTCAAAGCCGACTGCACTAAGCCTCTCCCTACCTATAGGAAACTTCAAAGGAAAAACAGGGAGATTATTCCCATCACAATGGAGTACCCGTGGATTCCTCCCACTTGCTCCTACTGCAAGCAAATGGGTCACCTGGAAACCCTTTGCCCGAATTGTCAATGGGTTCCGTCTACTGCAGACAAGGTTATCCCTACAGGATCAGCCCCATCTTCCCAGCCTCCAAACAAAGCAGCTTCGGCACTTGTTGACCTCGTACCTCCAGAGTGTCCCCTGTTGACCTGAAGTCGGAGGTCCCAGTCAACTTGTTAAGTGGCTCCTCTCTTTCCTTTAGTAAAGGAGATCTGCTTCAGGAAGCGTCGAAACCTGAGAATCTTTCTCCCTTGGGAAAAGGAGTAGTGGAGATTTGCTTAGATGATATTGCTGCCCCGTCCGACGTGGAAAAGATATCACACCTCAGTGCTCTTCCTGTCCATGTTTCTCACCGCCCAGTCATAAATAGAGTTTTCAAAAAGGCCTCTCCAACAGGCGCCCGTTTTATCAGGAAGCCGCCTAAAGCCAAATCTTCCTTGTCGATAGAAGGTATCAACCCCTTTGCCTGCCTTGATGCGAATGGTTCTATAGTTCTCGAAGGGGAGGCTGGGGATTCTTCCCTCTCTTCCGAACCCCCATATAATGATCACACTTCGTCAGGTTCTGCTAATGCAGCGCTTCCTACCGCCAATGGGTTCACTTCCCCTTCAGTGGGATCTCTCATGCAAATAGGAGAGCACCAACATTAAATATTTTATGTTAGACAACATATTTTTTTGGAATGTCAGAGGTATTAATGATATTCAAAAGCACTGGGCTTTTCGATGCTGGCTTGTAAGTAATAAAGTTTCTTTTGGAGCCTTACTGGAAACCCATATCAAAGAACTCAATCTGAACCAGGTTTTGACTGCCATTTGCCCCAACTGGTCCTTTCTTTCCAACCATGCCGCTGATGAGGATGGTCGGATAATTCTGGTGTGGAAAAAGCCTTTCTCTGTCGTTCTCCTCCGCCTATCAAAACAGACTCTGACGTGTAAAGTAAGCTTTCCTGGAATCTCAGACTTCATCTTCACTACTGTGTATGCAGCGAATACTTTGGAAGAGAGAAATGATCTTTGGATTGATTTACTGGAAACTGAAGCTGCCCTCTCTCTCCGTAACACAGCTTGGCTTATGGGAGGAGACTTCAATGAAACTCTGCACCCTTCAGAGCATTCTCAGCCTGATTTCAATCAGATCACCTCTCCCATGATTAACTTCAAGGATTGTCTTGACCAACTTGAGCTAAGAGACCTCCGTTATCACGGAACCAAGTTCACTTGGTCCAATAAGTAACCTGCTGACCCAATTGCCAAGAAACTGGATCGTGCTCTCATTAATAAACATTGGCTTTCCACATTTCCTCGAAGCTTGGCTCAGTTCCTTGCTCCAGATATCTCGGACCATTCTCCCTGTTGTATAAATCTTGCTTCGGCTCCTCCCTCTGTTGGAACTCTGCTTTTCAAATTTTACAACTATCTCGCCGGCTGTTCTAACTTTCTTGGAACAGTTTCTATGTCTTAGGATTTTACTCCAGTCCACTGCCACTCGCTAAAGGCTCTCTCTGCAAAACAGAAGCTGATTAAAAGCTCCCTAAGAAGCCTAAACAAGGACAATTATTCGGATATTCAAAAGAGGGTCAGTGAGGCTACGGACCTGCTCAGAGCTGTGCAATTAGTGTCTTTAAATGATCCTACAACGGAAAACCTCCTAGCTGAAAGGAAATATTGTGATAAGTTGACTATGCTTAGGAAGGTGGAGGAAGAATATTTCAAGCAGAAATTCAGGATAAATTGGCTGCAAACTGGAGACCAAAACACACCTTTCTTTCATAGTGTTTGTAAGGCCATGACTGCTTTCAATGCTATCCATACCTTGGTGGAGATGGATGGAAGAGAGGCCACTTCTGCTGAGGACGTGGGCAACCTCGCTGCCTTTTACTTCAGGAATATCTTGGGGTCTCCCATGCAGTTCAGAAGTCAACGTCTGGTTCCCTTGATCTCCCGATTTACTAGAGCCCTCTGCTCACCTGAGGATGCAAGCAATCTAGCCTGTCACCCTTCCCCTGAAGAGATACAAAAAACCATCTTCAGGCTGAACCCCAATAAAATTTCAGGTTCGTATGGGCTCACCTTTGGATTCAATAAAGCCGTCTGGCCAATTTTGGGTGAAGAGGTCGTAACTGCCATCTCCTGCTTCTTCTCTGACGCCTCCATGCCAGTCTCTGTCAACTCAACGATCCTCACTCTCATCCTGAAGTTTTCGGGGGCAACCATTATCAAGGATTACTGTCCTATTTCCTGTTGCAACACTCTCTATAAGGTGGTCTCAAAGCTCCTAGTTGCAAAGCTCAAGCCCCTTCTCCCTCGGATAATCCTGCCAAACCAAACTGCTTTCATGAAAGGGAGATTGCTTATAGAAAACTGCCTTCTAGCCTCTGAAATTATAAGCGGTTACCACGCAAACAAGGGTCCGAAAAGGCTTACTCTGAAGATTGATATTGCTTAAGGCATTTGACTCTATCAAATGGGATTTCCTCATCCAGTGCCTTGACCCTCTTCACCTCCATACCTCTCACATCGCATACTCCTGCTTACTCGCTGGGTATAAATGGGCGGCTCCATGGTTATTTTAGAGGAACCAGAGGGATTAGACAAGGCGATCCTCTATCTCCCTATCTGTTTGGCCTAGCAATGAATATTTTCTCCCAAATGTTAAACGACGCTGCAGCAAATGAAACTTTTAACTACCATCCAAAATGCAAAGATGCTCAGTTGACTCACCTTTGCTTTGCTGATGACCTGCGTATCTTCTCTGATAGCTCCTTGGACTCTATTCGGGGTATATTCAACGTCCTCTCTAACTTCCAGGAGTTGTCTGGACTGGCCATTAGCCCTGAAAAATCAGTTTTCTTCTCCAGCGGTCTCTCTACGGCTGAAACCCAACTAATTGAGAGTTCAACTGGTATCCCACATGGTCTTCTGCCAATTTGATACTTGGGTCTCTCCTTTTGCTCCAAAAAGCTCTCTATTGTCAACTGTGAGCTCTTCCTGCAAAGCGTCAAAAACAAGATCAGCTACTGGACTTCAAAATACCTGTCTTGTGCAGGAAGGCAAGTGCTGATCAATACAGTTATAGCCGGGATCACAAACTTTTGGTGCAGTGCTTTCGTCCTCCTAAAACAATGTATTCGCCGGATCGATTTTATGTGCAATGCGTACCTGTGGAAAGGAATTCTATAAGGGGCATTTTCGGCCAAGGTGGCATGGACCTTAGTTACTTCCCCTAAAGAGGAGGATGGCTGGGAATTAAGAACCTCAACACTTGGAATCGAGTATGCTCCCTCAAATTTCTCTGGCTTCTCCTCTTTAGAACTGAGTCCATTTAGGTTGACTGGATACATCAGAACGTGATCAAAGATAAAAGCATTTGGGATATGAAAGAGAAGCAAAGTCACACCTAGCTTTTTAAAAAATTGTTGAGGCTGCAGGACACAATGTTGATGTGGATACGACTTAAACCGGGAGATGGGCATACAACAATATTTTGGTCAGACCCGTGGACTCTGTTTGGGCCATTGATCAACTTCATTGGTCCGATGGGACCTAGATTGATGGGGATCCCTAGAGATGCCACTGTCTCATCCATTTGGAGAGCTAACTGTTGGGATCTCGTTCCGGCTAGATCCAAAAGCATCGAAGAGCTTCATTGCTACTTGACGTTGATTACGCTCAATTCCAGCACTGACTAACTCTTATGCTGGTAAGGTTCTGCGCGTTGTATCGAATTAAACCACATGCTCCACCGCTTGTGCAGGCCCCCGTCAATTCCTTTGAGTTTCGGCCTTGCGACCGTACTCCCCAGGCGGAGTGTTTAACGCGTTAGCTGAGCCCCAGATCAGAATAGACCAAGGGCGAACACTCATCGTTTACGGCATGGACTACCAGGGTATCTAATCCCGTTCGCTACCCATGCTTTCGCACACCAGCGTCGGTAGAGACCCAGAGAGCTGCCTTTGCTTTTGGCGTTCCTTCGTAGATCCGTAGATTTCACGTTTATGCCATGATCAGTATTGGTGTCTTAGGATTTCTTGTTTGGGCTCATCATATAATTGACGGCTCTACCAAAGCAAATTTCTCTGCAAAAACTATCTATCACCAGATCAGGGAGCAAAACCAGGTCGTCGATTGGTCTCCCATTATTTGGCTCAAAAGAGGAATCCCGAAACATAATTGTCTTGCCTGGCTCTTTATCCTCAATCGCTGCCCGACCCGCGATCGCCTTCTCTCTTGGGGATTGACTACTGAGCCGATTTGCCTTCTCTGCAACACGACTGAGGAATCCAGAGACCATTTGTTCTTCGAGTGCGAGTACTCATTCGCGGTTTGGTCGAAGCTCGCTCAGAAATTGGGATTCTCTACCACCATCCGCGACTGGAGCGTAGTCGTTGATGGACTTCTATCTATAACCCCGAATAACTCGCGCAAATATCTTATGATTCTCGCTTGGCAGGCAACCATCTATGAGCTCTGGAGAGATAGGAACAATCGGCTTCATCGCAGCATACACAAGCATCTTAACCTAATCCTTAAAGGTATTGAGCTAACAATCAAGAATAGAATTTCGGCGTTCCGGTTGCAGAATCCTCAAGCAGCAAATAACGTAATGCAACTTTGGATGTCTCTCTATTAAAATTATTTCCTGTGATATTCGGCGATCTGATGTGTTCCTCGATGTTTTTCTCTGATCTCGTCCTCTTCGTTCTTTGAGTAGATCCGAGCATAGAATAGCTGGGCTTGGTTGGGTTAGTTTCGGACACAGAATAGCTAGACTCGATTGGGCTTTGTTGGATTTCGGCCCTGGTTCACTTTAGTTTTTATTTGAATTTTATTTTAGACAGGTAGATTTATAACCACCTTTGCTATGTTTATTTTAATGCAATCAAAAGTTAAAAAAAAATATTGAAAATAAGTTGGAGTTTGAGACAAATATTTTAAAGATTATCCCATGTTTTATTGCTATTAACTTATTAAGTAAGGGACACTTATCTTATATATGATTTTTTTTTTCGACTATCTTCTTTGATTATAACAAACCATGGACTTTTTCAAAAAAAAAAAAAACCATGCATGGATGTATAGCGTGTCAGAATCGTGAGCGGAAGAACTGAAGAAGTGCGTCTATTATTCTAAGAATACATACATAATAGAGTTGGGTTGTTGACCCAAAAAAAAAAAAAAAATAGAGTTGGGTTAGGCCTACAAATTAACACATAGCCAATCTAGCCCAATATAGCGAGAAAAGAGCAAGTTCACATGAGCAAATATGTTGGGAATCGTCCGAGAATCAACCTTGTGTGTTCCAAAAATCCAATCGTATTTTAGTTTTTTTTTAAAAAAAAATTCTGCAAGATGTTGCTTTTTTCATGCATTTTTCAAAAATCAGCTATATATAGTGAATTTTGCAATGAAAAATAGTTTATGTTGCATACTTGCATACTCTATGTTACCCATGCATTTTTATAAAACACAAGGTAGTTGACCCGCACATATGTGCAGATATAATTTTTTTGATATACATAGTTAATTGTAATATTTAAATATTGATTATTTTTAAAAAAAATTGGTATATTTGTATGTATATTGTTTTAATATTTTACAAACTTCTTTCTGAAACCAATGTATTTTAAAACTTTTATTTTTATAATGCTTGTAATAATATATAATCACAAATATAAAAGTTATGTTAAATAATAATTAAATTTTTATAATATTTTTTGAATATTTCTATAATATGATTTATTTCTCCTTACACAATCTACAATATGCTTTTTTGCGTCTTACATAATATGAATTTGCAAATACATATATAATATATTTGAAGTATATATTTTTCTTGATTTATTGCGATTTAAACTGAAATAGTTTTTACCATTTTTACTTATTCATAAGAGCAGATAGATGGTTGGCACGCATGTGCGGGCATACAAACCACTTCACTACACTTAGAATATATAAAGAGTTTAAAAAAAATATAAATTGTATAATAATTAAAATAAAAATTAGACTGTAATCAATCTTAACAAAATACATGCACAAAAAAGTTTGCATGTGACTTCAACTAATGTACAATTAATATTTATGTATGTACGCGTATTTGTAAAAAAATTAAAATATGGATCTTACGTCTTAATTTTTTTTAAGTGACTTTGTAAAACAAAAGGCGAGAGATTTATTTTTATTTCTTATTCATATTGTTTCATCTTATTATAATTTATTTTTTCGTTGTTCGGTTATTTTCAATTCATTTATGATCTCAAAATTTTATTTTTATTTAAAATATGATAAGAGATAAGATGAGATGGTAACATAAGTTATGTACATTTTATTAAACAACAATAAAAAGATGATAAAAGTTATAGAAAAATATATGGTCCTATTAATATTATAAAATAATAACTAGTATATACTTTATTCATTTAGTAAATATTGGTTTGAAAAAAAAATCAATAAAAGTTAATTATTTTTTATGATTTTAACATTTTATTCTTTAAATTATTTTTATCATGATTATATTTTATTAAAAATTATATTATTTAACAATTTGTTTATTTAAAACTTGTTTAGATGTATTAATATATTTTATAAATTAATAACTTTCCAAAATAAAAATATATCATACTTATAGTATTATTAATAAATAGAATTTTTACTGTTCTATTGGATAATTTAATATTATTTTTTGTTTTCATATGAAATTATAATATATATATTGTTAAAAATTGAAATTATAATAGCTTTTATTTTCTGTTAATTTAAATTTGTTAATTTTAATGTTATAAATATAATTTAGTTTATTTATATTTTAATTTCATAATTTCTATAATTTTAATTCAACCAATCAAAACATTTCGTTTATTTTAGAAAGTTTGACATGTCATCAATTAAAAGCACTAACTTTAGGTGTAGTGTTGACAAGTCAGCTATTTTCAATAATGTTACTTCTCAAATAATATGTAGTAGATTTGGACACTAACCTTAGCTTTTAGTGTCGAGTTTAAGTTTTTTAAACGACGTTGTTTTAGTACTTTTCTTTTGTTTAACAACGTTGTTTTAATTCTTATAGGACATTTTTTTAAAAGAGCTCTTAATAGAACGTTAATGTTGTGTTGATTTTTATACTTATCGTAAATAATGATTTTTTTTTTCAGTAACTTTCTGTATTACATGGAAACCACATCGATTGATTCCTCGAACATTTTCATAAGGGAGGTTTTTTTTCTTCTCTTTTTTGTGTGTTAAAAGTGAATTTTCATTACACTACAAAAATTCATGATATATGATTTGATCTACATCACATTCGGAATTTACAGTTAGTTACATGAAACATTGAATTTTTTTTCTTCCATTCTACATTACTCATGCATAACGTGCAAGCCTACATTAAAAACTGTAGTACTTTCCTTTGGTTTGGCAATATATGTAATTTTTATGTGGCCTTTGGTATGATTCGAAAAACTCGAATCTCTTCCTATTGTACAGTAAAATCAAAAATAATTTTATATATACTTCTATTTTAAAGAAAAGAGCATGTTTTTATCCCGTCGTTTGTTTGAGATTTTACGATATGTCAGTAATATACGATTCTAGGAATTCGTACCAAATATATTGACTTGCGTGGTGTATCTCTCGTCATATCTGTCTCATGACCAACAGACTTTTTGATTTCATCTCTTTTTATTACTTTCGTGAGAATTTCAAGACCACACTTGGTTTACTTTTTTTTTACGGCAATCTAATTAACTATTGTATTCAATTAATTTTCTTACACAGTGCATGAATTTAATAAGTACTTATATTTATATGTGTGTGTAAAACAGTGGTAAGATTTATAATAAAAACGATTTATATACAAACGAAAATATGTGTAAAATACTCTTAGTGAGCTTCTTCATCTCACTTTTTTTTAAAGAGAGTCAATCATATGTATATGAGTTTAAAGTGTATTTACAATACAATTCACATGACATGCATGTCGTATGCTTCAGTAGATTTCCCTTAAGCTTGAAGAACTATAGTTTTGCACATTGCAATGATTCAGATAAAAGAAAAAACCGTTGTTGTTTGAAATTTATAGAGATTTATAGAGTAGCAAAATCGTAATCTTTATGACTTTTTCGACCCACGTGGGTTGATACCCTAAAGGGTAACCAAACCGGCCTTACCCATCATAAAGTAAACCTCAAGGGACAGCTTTAGAGGCAAATATATGAATATAAAAGATTTTATTCACCTAACTAACAATACCTTATTAACTAACGCAAAAAAATCCACACGCTTTACCATGACATGACACAAATTATAGGTTTAGAAAGTGGATGCAAAGTTGTGAAACTTACGTTTTTTTCCTTTGACAACGAATTAATAGACGAATATACACAACCAATTTACATAAGTAGTATTTAAGCACACTTAATTAGGTATATCCGATCCGATTTTTTTTTTTGGTTTTGGTTCAGTATTCAGAATTTTCAGTTTAAAAATGATAGGAACCGAATATCACTAGATTTGAAGTAAAACAAGTGAATTATTTAATAAACCAGGAATCAAAGCTTAAATCCCGATGATCCTAATTATTCTTAAGTATTGGAAAAGTTTATATTGGACTTTAACAAATAAAAAATATTCAAATGAAGTTTTTCATTATTGATAAAATTGTTATCATTATGACTTTTTAAAACAAGTAAATTATTTAATAAATCAGGAATCAAAGCTTATAGAAATCCCGATGTTTCTAATTATTCTTAAATATTGGAAAAATTTATATTGGACTTTAACAAAAAAAAACAATTATTCAACTGAAGTTTTTCATTATAGATAAAATTGTACAGATCACCACAGAAAAAGAGACAGTTTGGTAGTCATCATTTCTCTAAGAAAATTAGATTCTTTTGTGGACATTAGAGTTGCTCTTGATAATAATGATGTAATAGACTAATAACACCAATCATAAAGATACTTGACTCCTGAACTAAAACAAAACCACGTTATAAATGGACAAAGAGAGGAAGGCATAATTATAGTAATCCAATTCCGTGATAGATCTTTTTTCAAAAAGATTTGACGATATGTGTAACTTGCTCTCTTGCAATTATCTATGGGAAATTGCTCGACATGATGTAAGAAACAACTATAGTTGAGCTAATGATAAATTAAAATACTGTTTCTAGGTATGCATAGAGATGAAAATAACCCTTGAATTCACTTAAAAGTCTTTGTACTCGATTTCACAGAATTCTATACTAAAAAAAATTCATTGAATTATATATTTTCAAAATAAAAAGTCGAATAATACAATAAATAAGCCTTACTTTTATTTGCCCAAAAAAAAGCCTTACTTTTATATATAGAATATCATTCAATATACATTGTGAAATCGAGTAGAAATTTTAATACTTTTATTTGTCACAAGAATTTTAAACCCTAACTTTAACAAGATTCATTTCAGTTTTTTGACGTAAATTAAAAGAGAGATCATTGAGCCAAAAAAAAGGAGGGAGATCCATAAGAAAAGCGGCAGAAAGGTAAATAAGAAGAGAAAAGAAATACGAGAGAGCATCAAGAGAGTAGATAAAAGAGTAAGAGAGTCGTGAGGGAAGAGAGAAAACAAAATACTTTATATAAATGAGTATTTGTTTTATGAACAAAAAGTATTTTTTAAAGGTTTGTCTTCAATGATAAGCTCTTTAAGCAAATTATTTTTTTTTAAAAAGAAAAATATACACTCTAATTTTCTTTATTTGTTTACCTTTATTAGAAAATGATAATTTTGTTTAGTAATATTTTATCAATATGTGTACCAAACTTCATTATCTATATATATAAGCCAGCACATATCTCTTCTTCTTGCAAAGAAAGAAAGAGAGAGAGAGAGAGAGAGAGAGAGAGAGAGAGAGAGAGAGAGAGAGAGAGAGAGAGAGAGAGAGAGAGAGAGAGAGAGAGAGAGAGAGAGAGAGAGAGAGATTTGACCCAAAAAAAAGAAAAAAAAAGAGAGAGAGAATGGGAAAATTAATGGCAAAGAGGTTTTGCATAGGGTTTGGGTGTGGAAGAACTGGGACAAGCAATAACAACAACAAAAGATCATCATCTTCATCTTCTTTTTTCTCCTCCTCATCATCATCATCATCATCATCATCATTATCCTCATCTTGTACCAATAACAACATAAAATGGGAGATGAGGCCTGGAGGGATGCTGGTTCAGAAGAGATCAGAAGATCCTAACACTGAAGATTTAATTAGTCTTCGAGTCTCCACTGTTTCTCAACTTTCATATGAAATCTCCATTGATGCAAACTCTACTTTCGGTAATAATTACATATATTCTTCACACATATTTTCCAATTCCATAAGATTTCATGAAGCACATTTTACATTCATATAGTTGATAAAAAATGTATATTTAGAATGATTTTTGTTTTGTTTTGTTTAGTATTGTTAAAACCCTTTTACAAAAGTATTCACCCAATATAATATTCCCCCTGTAAGACTGGTTTAAAAGTTAAAATATAAAATTAGAAACCGTCTTTAACATTTTTCACCGGTCAAAAGTGATGGTCGTTAGTTTGGAGTTATGAGAGAATACACGTTTTAGAAAGTTGAAAGGATTTTAACCTTAAACCAAAAAAAAAAAAGTTGAAAGGATTTCTTGTTCGGTGGCTATATCCCTAAACTGTTGTCTCGAGATAAATTGGATTTAAATCCGAGTTTCCGTAGATATATTCGAAATAGTGAACACAAGATAGCAAGACTAGCAAGTGAGTATATTGTACTTTTTTTACATGTGTCATATATACTTTCTAGTATATTTTAATAAATTTTTAGTTTCTGTTTTGTTGACCAACAAAAAAAAATCTGTTTTTATCTTTTTTATGGATACAAATATTTAAACAAAAGAAATACTAGTGAAGAGTCCTGTTTTTGGCTAGAATGTCGGGTAGATACCTTTTCAGTTTACCATAAAATAATGGGGAACTTTCACAAATGACCCACAATTTGTGGTTCTAGTTTGGTTGGTAACTAACAATATTTACATTTAAAACGAATGGGTTCATCTTTTGATAGAAATGATCACTTATTAAACAGTTTTTTCAGGTGAATTGAAGTTAATGATAGCAATAGTGAGTGGAATTGAGGCAATAGAGCAGAGACTCTTGTTCAAAGGGAAGGAAAGAGAAGACAGGGAATACTTACACATGATTGGTGTTGGAGATGGAGACAAAGTCTTTTTATTGCAAGATCCTGCTTTTAAGGAGTTGAAACTTCTTCATCTCCCAATAACTGTCTAGTTTTAATTCTTACTTTATTAATCGATCGATTATTAGCTCTAATCTACTTGAAACATCCTCTTAGAAATCTAGTAATAAGTTTTTGTTTTTTTAGGACTATATGTTTGTTATCTGTTGTATTGTCTCACATTTGATAGGGTCTGGATGGAGTGATTAGTTATATTCTTGTAGTTTTGTTGATTAAGTTGGAAGATCAGATTTTATGAAGAGTGCATGATACTCAAACACTATTCTACATTTCCGTTTTAGAAATATATATATATTGCGTGTGGTGTAATAAATTGATTGGAATATAAAAATAATTTTGATGTTTAGAAGTTTAGGTAATTTCTAGATGTTGGAAATCCTATCACTCCGCTTTTAGAGAGATTGTGGATGCTTCTTTGAGATGATTATTTGACTATCAGAGAGCAAACGGAATATTGACTAAAACGTATATAAAATTACTAATTTTAGAGAGATTAAAACATTTCTATGGAGGAGTTTTTTTAAATATAAAAAATAAAAATAAAAAGAGAGAAAAAAGGAAAGGTTTTCAAGAACTTTTAAAATATCTACAAAAATTTCAAATCACACTTATCTCTTATACATTAGTTTAAATTTTTAAAAGTGTTAAAATATAATTATAAAATGTAATTATTTTAAAATAATAATATTCTTTTGTTTAATTTTTTTTATAAATATCTAATAGATGGAAATGCTCTTATGAATATTCTCATTCTTCTGCTTTAGTAAGCAAAAAAATCATCTCAACATATGTATATTTAGATCAATGGTTTTAATTAATATTGAGATAATATATTAAAGTTTAAATAGTAAGTACAATGTATATAACTAGAGATCAGTAACTTGAAAATTGAGTTCAAAGCTTACATCCTCTATTTATAGATCACTACGCATGTTTGGAGCCATTTGTAGAAAATCATAACAGCAAAAAACAAGCCACGTTTACACTTACACGAAATAGGTATAACTAGTTGTGACAATTGCATGTGTATGCCTAATTAGCTTTTACAAATAATTAAAAACTCTTAAAGTGTTACAATCATTTGTCTTCTTTTCCATTATAATATCAGTATGGTTAAAGTTAACGGTAATATCATATCGCACGCGTGCAAGCCGACAACAGAAAACCAAGTGGTGTTTATAAAGTGGTAGTTGAAGTATCAAAAAGAGAACTCTAGGATAATGAATTTTTAAAAAGATAAGTACTCTTCATTTTTTTAATTTAAAGACAGAAAGATTTTAAAACTAACTGAAAAGTCGAAAAGTAATAATTCAAAATTCGGCTAAATTAAAAACTAATTGGAAAAATGGTTTTACAAATTTCTTTGGAATCTCGACAATACAATTATTTTTAAACTTAGTTCTTGCTTTTAACTCTTATTATAAAACATAGTCCAGTGTCTGTCAATTCAACAACAAATTTTACTTGGATCATCTTATTTAATTTGGTCAACGAATTTTGATAATTTCATGTTAAATTTCATGTCATATGATGACATATCTAAAATACTCTAGGACTTAGGTTGGTCTTATCTAATTAACTTCATGAACACTCCATAATTTTCTTATATATAGAAAATATTTATGGAATTTTACAAAACGTAAAACGTTTTTTGGACACCTCTCTATCCTATTTTAGTATTTTAAGTTTTTTTTTAAACAAGTCAATTCATATTTATGATTGAAAATTTTAAATCAATTCTATCGTAATTTTGATGATATTCCATAATTTTCTTATACGTCCGTCGAAACAATATTTGATGTTATTTGTGGTACTTTTCATAAAAATGTAATTCGATCGTTGAGATGCCACTTCATTCTCTCTAAGAATTTTTTATTAATTATAAGTTTTTTTTCTTTTCAATTATTCAACTCGATATAACAGTTTAATGAATCATTTCTATGTTATTCCAAAACGCACTACCGGATCTCGGATCAACGACAAAGACAACGTGTACAAAAGATAATCAAATTTACGTTGCATGCATACAGTTAGCGCATTTGTGAGCCGAAACGACAACGTTTTACCAACCCTCAAAACAAAAATAATCCAGCTGCAACAACAAAGACAACGTATGTAGAAGAAGAAGAGAAATAAGAAGCTGAGTTCTTAGGCTGATTTGTTCTCTTACTTAAATCTTCTTCTGGTTGCGCAAGCTCATCAGCTCCTTTAACAGAAACCGGCGCGTAATCTTCCACGACTTCGACTCCTGCCGGCGCTAGATCTATGGGGACATCGTAATCAGAGTAATCTTGAACGTACGTGGAGTTTTTCCCGGCGGGAGGCATCGTGGGAGGAGATTTTTCAGTGGTGTTTGACGTCGTCGTCGGTGGTGAAGGTGAAGATGAATCGGCGGCGTAACTTCCACCGGCTAAAGCCAAAGCAATGAGAAGGAATACGAAAGAAAAACGTCGAGCCATATAGTTTATGTTTATTACTATAGATTGATATATCGATTCTCTTCGGACTTCGGAATGTGTGTGTGTGAGTTTGTAGACGGCAAACAAAAAAATTGATGTAGCTCTCTCTTCGATTTTGTAATCGATATGTCGTATAATTTGTGATATTTGTAAATAGTATTTTGTTAATGAGAATAAATCAATTTTATGTGTATATGTAATGACTTTCTCTGTGAGATTGAGAGAGATCAATCAAGAAGATGGAGGATGAATGAGAAAGAAAGGGAAAATAAATTGGGAATTTAAAAGCTATTAGGAGATGGGTATGTTTGGTAATTAATTAAAACCAGGTGTTTGTTTGGAGTTTATGTGTGTGTGTTTTTTGTTCTGTTAGCCAAATTTGAACCATGAGCTGTTCTTTTTGCATTTTGCTGCTGCAGGATAGACCAATTTAAAAATGGGATAGTTATTGTTTTCGCAGTATTTAGAATACGGTTTAGCGTTATTTTTTTGTTATGTGATAATTTTGAAATGTGGGTTGTTATTAGAGAAGTTATAACGCCATTTTGAAACAGAGTACAGGTAGCAATTGATGGACATAAATAAAAATAAAAAATCTACTATAAGATTTTTAAAAATTCATCAGTTGCTTTATGTAATTGTATCTGTATACATGCAGAGGTCATGAACTTGTTTTTGTTGTTGTTGACCTGCCAAAATATTCACATTCATTAAACGGAAAAATTTACACCATACAATGTAAAACAGTTTCTTATCTCTTTTAACAATTTAACATGCACATATATATATATATATATATATAAAATATGTAAAAGCACAATAAGGAGGTGATAAGCTAACAATATAATTACATAGATTGCAATGCTTGATCGACACCATGCATATCTGCTCTTGTGTTTTCTAAGATCATTGATGCTATCTCTTCTCAAGGTTTTCTAACACAAAGCTTTTCTCATAATGACACAACATGACATTTTTCTTGAATTTGCAAATATATATATATATATATATAAAATTGTTGCTCTACTGTTTTGATTACAAAATAAATTTGTAGCAAAATGGTAACAAAAATTTAGTTGATGTATAAAGAGATATATAAAAAATTCAAAATGTCGTTATGTTTAAAAATAACGGATTGATCATAATTTTTATTTTTTATAAAACGAACTTTCATTATATTCTTCAACTTGGACCAACATGCCCATTTTTACAAACCCAAAACAGGGTGCAGCAAAGAGCCAGCAACAAAACAAAGAGATGCCTAACGCACTCAATGCATAATTAACCGAAAAAGTCAAATGTTGTAACACTGAGAAACAAAAAAAGTTAATAATATATTAGGAAACTGTGAACCAAATTTGCTTGATTTATACCAGAATCTTACGTTACAAGTATTTATGAAAAGGAAAAATCGCATTTTAAACCCTCAAAGTAGGATTCACTAACACTTTAAACCTTCAGACTTTAACACTCTCACTTTAAACCTTCAAGGTACAAAAACTAACACATTAAACTGCCAAAGTAGCTTCCGAGATTACGCTGCCGAATCAGTAAACGGAAAAATTAACTCCGTTGACAGAACAGTAAACGGTGTTAATTTATTACAAAACATGGTTATTTTTAGATTATCGTTTATTTGTTTGGTTTATTAAAAACAAATAAGAAAAAAAAAACTAATCCAAAATCCCCAAATCAAAAGCCAAACACGGGGTAAACCTCTAAACCAAAATCCCCAAATCGATTTAGGGTTCGTCACAATCCAAAAATTTTAAAGAGATACAACGGGCAAAAAACGTGAATCACGAAGAAGAGACGATGACGACGGAATCGAAATGGGGTAAGTGTAATCCCTCTGTTGATTTCGACTGTTCTAGTTCGAATCGATTGTTCTATATTTTGCGAGTGCTGTAACGACGCGATGTATGTTCTTAATGCAGTGACGATGTGATGTTAAAACTCAGAATTCAGTTTGGTGGTACTATGAAGAAGGAGAATGAGAGTTACAGTTATGTTGAGAAATTGGGTACTCTCAACGTCAACTGGAAACAGTCAGAGACTACATGGGAGAGGTTTGAAAGCTTCCTTAAGAACGAATGTCATATTAGTACACCGATTAGGTTTATCTGGTACAAAGAAGTAGGGGAAGAGATGAAAAGCATAGACTATGCGATAGATACCGAAGATTTGCTCTGTTTGGCTGCAAAAAAATTATCAGGGGAGCTCGATGTGTTTATCGATCACGAATGCTCAGAACATATACCTGGATATACGAACACATATCTCCTCACAAGAAATCAAGTTGAAGATATGAATTGGCATGAAGATGATATTGCAGCTGGATATGAGGGTGGTCAAGAAGATGAAGAGGACATGGATGAGACTAAAGATAGTGATGATGATGATATTGACAGACCGAAAGAAGATGAAGAACCTGAAGAATCGGAGGATGAAATCAATAAAAGCGAGAATGTTGCTGAGAATCAATGTGATGGTGTGGCTGATAATCAAGGAGACATGGCTGAGAATCAAGGAGATAGGTCTGTGGAAGGAGATGAGGCTTGCGAAGGAGGTGCTCCTGTGTTGAATACAGTGGATGAAGGAGATGAGGTTGTAGTAGATGCAGGAGATGGACGCAGCGATGCTAGATTTAAGGAGGTATTTGAGGAAGGGACATCAGTACATCCAGAGAAAGAAGCGTATTGTAATAATGAAGAAAAAAAAGATGCAGAAAGGGAAGCAGAAGAAAGCGAGGAAGAGTATGGTATAGGTCAGAAAGAGTATCCAGATACACCACTAGAGTCAGAAGAAGAATGGGAGCAATGGGCAAACAAGAGAAGAACAAGAGGGAAACCACATTTTCATGGAGATTTCGATAAAGAGCCTTTTCTCTGGTTGTTCCAGAAGTTTAATAGCGGATTAGAGTTCAAGGACCAGTTGCTGCGATACTCCTTGAAGACTCAATTTGATGTGAAGATGGCAAAGTCAGAAGCAAACAGGATTGCTGTGATTTGTTGTGGTGAAGACTGTCCTTTTAGAGTATACTGCTCTTATGAGAAGCCTATTAATAAGTGGATGGTGAAAGTCTGTAAGCTGAGACACACTCATGGAAAATCAAGTAGAGTGTCAATGTTGAAACAGGGAGTGATTGCAGGATTGTTTAGAGAGGAGTTAAGAAGGAATGCCGGCCTACAAGCATCTGAGATTAAAGATGCCATCAAAGAACGATATAACATTGTTGTATCAATGCCAAAATGCTATAGAGGAAGGCGTATTGCTCTGGACAGCATCATTGAAGCACATTCAACTCAGTTTGGTAAGCTATGGGACTATCAAGCTGAACTTCAATGATCCCATAAAGACATCATCACTGAACTGAACACTATAAAAGTGAATGGTGCTGATATGTTTGACTGCTTTTACATCTGCTTTGAAGAGCTGAGGAATACTTGGAAGAATTTTTGTAGGCCAGTTATTGGTTTAGATGGATGTTTTCTGAAGTGGGAGTTGACTGGTGATTTACTTTCAGCTGTTGGCAGAGATGCAGATAATAGAATGTATCCGATTGCATGGGCAGTGGTTCGTGGTAAAAATAAAGACACATGGGGCTGGTTTGTTAGGAAGATAAAGGAAAATCTTGGCTTGGAAAATAGGAAAGATATAACCATCATTTCTGATAAGCAGAAGGTAACTTATCGTCTACCATTTATGTTAATAATTTCTGATGCTTTAATGGTTAGGCTGAATATCATTTCTGCTTGCAGGATTTAGAAATTGCCATAGAGGCTGAACTTCCACAAGTTGAGCATCGGATGTGTGCAAGGCATAAATACGCCAATTGGAGGAAGAAAAGTTTCACAAGGTCGGAGTTCAAGACTCTATTCTGGGGAGTTGCGTATAGCTACACTCAAGGAGAGTATGAAGATAATTTGAAGCTGCTACAAGACTATGATGTTGCTGCATTTCAAGCTCTGATGGCGACCGAACCAGAGAGGTGGTGTAGAGCATTTTTCAGCCTTGAATCACATTGTGCTGATGTGCATAATAATCTGTCCGAAAGTTTAATAGGACGATCAAGATTGCTAGATCAAAGCCAGTGATAAATTTGTTGGAGGATATAAGAAGACAGGCTATGAGAAGAATATCCAGACGATCACTGAAGGCAGAAACTTGTGACACAATCGTGACACCAATCACAATGGCACTGTTGGAGAAAGCAAGAGAAGCGAAGAAGTATTGCTCAACAAACCGCAGCTCTTCTAGTGTGTATGAAGTGGTTGAGTTTGGTTGTGGGTATACAGTCAATTTGTCCACACACCAATGTGCGTGTAAGAAGTGGGATCTTACAGGTATTCGTTATTTATTTTATCTAATTTGTTTTGTGATTAGAAGATCAATCAAATTTTGTGTTTTAGTTGAGCTTTACTGTGTTTTTTTATTATAGGGATACCATGCAAATATGCTGTATGTGTCTTAGATGATAATCGAGAGGACCCGGTGCTATATGTTGCTGAGTATTACTACACTCATGTCTTGAAGAACACATATAAAGACAACATCAAACCTGTCAATGGTGAGAAGCTATAGATTAATACTAACAAGCCTCCAATAGGAATACCCGACGTACGGAAGCCTCGAGGTCGACCTAAGAACAGAGATAGAATCATGAAGCCTTTTGAATCACTACAGAATGCAGGAAAAGCAACAAGACATGGCAGGATACCACATTGTAGCCGCTGTGGTCAAGCTGGATACATTAATAGAGGATGTGAAAATGAGCCGGTTGTTGTTGAAGGACCAAAGAACAAGCGTGGTAGACCTCGTAAGCATCCAGCTGAGGTATATTGATTTAAAACTAGAATTGCTATTATATGCAGAAATGTTATTTTTCATCTAGGATTGCTTTTTTGTGTATGAGCTGAACATTCTATTTACCAGGTTAATCCGAACCCGAAGCCTCCACCAAAGCCTAGGAAAAAACATGCTCCTTCTGCAACAAGTTCTCAAGCCGTAGAAACAAGTTCGCAACCTGCTCCTCCTGCAACAAGTTCTCAAGCCGAACAAACAGAAACTTCAAGTGCTCCTCAGGCATCAGCATCATCAAGTCAACCACCAAAGCCACATGCAAAAAAGGCTCCACGAGGAAAGCCATTGAAGATCAGAAAAACAGGTAACATCCCACATGGTATTGGAACGCTTTGGAGTCCATTCACAGACAGACCTTTCAAGGTGTTTGGAAACCGTTTCTATGACAGGTCTACTTCAAACCCACAACCTCCAGAAGAGTGATTTTAAGTTTATTGCAGCTTTGTGATTTGTTGTTCTGTTTCACGGCTTTCCAAAAACGACAATAACAATATTTTTTAGTTTTAAAACTTGTATTTGGGTTTCAGTTTAATGGTTCAGTATACTTTACTTTCAGCTTTCAGTTTAATGCTTCTTTTGGCGTGGTTTATTTCAGTTTAATGTCAACAAAACAACAGTCATTGTACATAACAAAAAAGGGACACAATCTGACATTGTAAATAGACACAATGACACGATGTCACAATACCACTCATACATCCAACAAAATGAGAAAATAGTCACAATGACACAATACCACAATGTCAAAGAAATAGACATAATTTCACAATACATCTAACAAAGACAATAATTCAGCAAACAAAGGAGACACAATGTCACAATACCACTTCTATCACTTACACATCGTCACCACCACTCCAAGTACAATTGTAAACCCAACCGAAGAAGTGATAAGGACATTACGAAATACCCTACTCCTTTCATTCAAAATCAAAACTTCTAGCTTCAGTGCTTCACATTCCTCACGAGCTTGCTTCAAATCATCCAGGTTTTCATTCGGATTTCCCCGCTTCAGTTCTTTTACCGCCTCCCTCAAGTTCCTAATCTCTTCTCTTTGGTCACGAATAACATCTCTTGCCTCAATCAATGCTTCATGTTGCCACCCATGTGGTTTCTCCACATCAAACCAACAGAAAAAGTTACAAGACTCATACCCGTGAGCCACCTTACGTCCTACACAGCCATAGAACCTGCGCCCAGTGTTGGCATCAGTCCAAGCCCTCATAATCTTTGCAGGCTGGTCACAATTACATAGAAGAGCTTTCTCGTTCTTGTACTGAACAATTGATGAACTTGCACTATCACTGCATTAAGAATATAGATAACTAATAATGTTTAGAGAGACCAACCCATAATCGCGAAATATAGAACAATCGATTCGAACTAGAACAATCGAAATCAACAGAGGGATTACACTTACCCCATTTCGATTCCGTCGTCGTCGTCTCTTCTTCGTGATTCACGTTTTTCGCCCGTTGTATCTCTTAATAATTTTTAGATTGTGACGAATCCTAAATCGATTTGGGGATTTTGGTTTAGAGGTTTACCCCGTGTTTGGCTTTCGATTTGGGGATTTTGGATTAGTTTTTTTTTTCTTATTTGTTTTTAATAAACCAAACAAATAAACAATAATTCAAAAATAACCATGTTTTGTAATAAATTAACACCGTTTACTGTTCTGTCAACGGAGTTAATTTTTCCGTTTACTGATTCGGCAGTGCAATCTCGGAAGCTACTTTGGCAGTTTAATGTGTTAGTTTTTATACCTTGAAGGTTTAAAGTGAGAGTGTTAAAGTCTGAAGGTTTAAAGTGTTAGTAAATCCTACTTTGAGAATTTAAAATGCGATTTTCCCTTTATGAAAACTATTACCAAAAAAAGTTATTCTTCACTTTCGAAATTAATGCTATCGAAAAATATATATATTTCTTTCTATATATTTTATTTTCTTGGTTTTGGTTTTTATTTTTCTTTTTAATTAAAAATTAGAGAAACTCCTTAAATTAAAGAAAAAAGTATTTTTTTCTTTCTATATATTTATTTTCTCTGTTTTGATTATTATTTTTTCCTTGTTATTTTTGATCTGAAAATTTATTTTCATGGTAGATATGAGAATTGGCCAAGTAATTATATTAAAACTAAAAAAATAATAATATTTTTCTTTGTTTTTGGTAAACAACAATACACCCAAAAATATTAATTGAGAAATTCTTTAGAATGACACCTGTTAAATTTAGTAGGAAGAATTTAAATTAGGAAAAATATAATAATTAAATAAAGAAGAGAGAGAGAAGAAGATGAACATAGTGCAGATCGCCTAAAATCCAACCATCCAATCCCAAACATGGCGGCTTATGGAATTGAAGGCATTACTGTTACACGTACCCTTCTCTCTATAACGTGTCCCTTCTCTTTCTCCATCTTCCATGCGAATCCCTTCGTTCTTCTTCTTCTTCTTCCCTTCTTCACATTCTCGTTCGCTTTCTTCCTCTTCCTTCTTCTCCTCCTCTCGTCTCTCTTCCTCTATGTCTCCTGCTCTCGAGAAATCTCGAAAAGGCGCCAATGGCGAAGCTGTTGGAGATGAATGCCGTGATGGGGAATCGAAATCTAGGGTTACCGTCGTCGGAAGTGGGAATTGGGGAAGTGTTGCTGCTAAGCTCATTGCTTCTAATGCCCTCAAGCTTCCTTCATTCCATGGTAACGATTCCGTAAGAGAACAAAAAAAAAAAAAACTGAAATTGGAATTTGAATTTCGAAATTGCAATTTCTCTGATACGATTTGATGGTTTTGGTGTTGCGCCATTGTGATCTCAATGTTGGAATTGAAATCCTGGGAAAAATCTCGCATTTTTCATGTTGTGAATTGTTACAATATTACGTTTTGATTCAATTTGAATTGGTAGAAGAAGATGTGGATTGTAATTGAATGTGTGCTAATGGTTTGATAAATTGAAACCAATTGATTTCAGATGAAGTGAGGATGTGGGTGTTTGAGGAGGTTCTACCAAATGGTGAGAAGCTCACTGATGCAATCAACAAGACAAATGTAAGGACGAGAATAGATGATTCTTGTTCTTGATTCATTTCGAATCTTAGTCTAGGTTTATGTAACTACTCTCTTGGTTTCTTGATCAGGAAAATGTTAAGTACCTACCAGGGATTAAGCTAGGAAGTAACGTTGTTGCGGATCCTGACCTTGAAAACGCAGGTCAGTGACTCGCTCACGAGCTTTTCTCTCCTTTACATGATTCCAGTTAGAAACTGATGGGTTTCAAAACCGATGCAGTGAAGGAAGCAAACATGTTGGTGTTTGTTACGCCGCATCAGTTCATGGATGGTATATGCAAGAAACTAAGTGGGAAGATAACAGGGGATGTTGAGGCTATATCTCTTGTTAAAGGCATGGAAGTGAAGAAGGATGGTCCACGTATGATCTCAAGTCTCATCTCCAAGCAACTCGGTGTCAACTGTTGTGTCCTTATGGGAGCAAACATTGCAAACGAGGTTGTTTGTTACATTTAGTTTTTGTTTCTCCTTGTTATGATCCAATTTGTCTACTCTTTTGGTAAATTCTGTTTTTTTTTTCACATTGCTTTTGACTGTATAATACAGATCGCTCTTGAGAAGTTTAGCGAAGCAACGGTTGGATATAGAGAGAGTAGAGAAATAGCTGACACATGGGTTCAGTTGTTTAGTACTCCGTATTTTATGGTCACAGCGGTACAGAATCTTTCATGGTTCTGTAAGTTTTGCTGTAGGTTGTTTAGTAGCTAAGCTGCTGAATAGCTTTAGAATCTTTCATGCTTCTTTTAGGTCCATGATGTTGAAGGAGTAGAGTTGTGTGGGACTTTGAAGAACGTGGTGGCTATCGCAGCAGGTTTCGTTGATGGTTTGGAGATGGGTAATAACACAAAGGTAAGTTAAAATGAAGTTTATAGTGTTGTTTCCTGCAAGGAGAGTTATGTAGTTTCCTTAAGCTATATCGTTTACAATTTTGAATGAACATCTTTATAGGCTGCAATCATGAGGATTGGTCTAAGAGAGATGAGAGCGCTCTCGAAGCTTCTGTTTCCATCTGTTAAAGACAGTACTTTCTTCGAGAGCTGTGGTGTAGCAGATGTCATAACAACTTGCTGTAAGGACTAAAGCAAAACCCAAGCTATCTTCTTGTTTTGTTTCTGTCCTCTTTTGAATATAGTTTCTCTTTTCTTTTTGTCCATTGTAACGTTGATTGCTTTTTTTAACTGAAGTTTCTCTCCTTTTTTGCATTGACTATTACAGTAGGAGGAAGAAACAGAAGAGTTGCAGAAGCATTTGCTCAAAGCGGAGGAAAAAGGTTTAACCTTTGTTCCAGTTCCACTTCAACTGCTTCAAATTAGTGTTTTAATGGTTTTGTGTGTGTAAATGTTACAGGTCTTTTGATGAGCTTGAAGCAGAGATGCTACAAGGGCAAAAGCTACAGGTAAACACCAAATATATATATATTATATATAGAGATATATACAATCTCTTTAATAATAAACCTGGAAGTTGATATTTCTGTGTTTGATTGATTATTAAAGGGTGTTTCGACGGCAAGAGAGGTCTACGAAGTTTTGAACTACTGTGGATGGCTCGAGATGTTTCCGCTTTTTGCAACGGTTCATCAAATCTGCATAGGTCGGCTTAAACCTGAAGCCATTGTTCATTACCGTGAGCAGAAAGTCGTATGTTCAAATTCAATGTTGTAATCACGAGTACTTTACTGGATTCGTTTATTAAAATTTTGAAAGATTCACGAAAGAGATTCTCAACTCCTATTATTATCACTTGGAACAATCTCTGTTGATGAATTTGGTGCAGAGGTTTACGTTTTTCTGTAATGTGTTTTACGAATGAGTAGAACCTTCTAGCTGGTTTAGAGGGTCTTGTTTATTTGACAACACTTTTTTTGAAAGAAACATTTAAAATCATGTATGTACACCACGTGTAAAGTGTGTCAGCCTCCACTATAAACGGCGTGCATTTTTACTTGTCAGTCATTTAAACGTCATGCAGTGTAACCCGCACACCAAAGGATCATCGAGATATATATATATACGAGAAATAAGAGAAAATTTCCTAAATTAGTAGAAACAAAAATCAAAAACGGAGAATCATATTTGATTCCCTTTTCTACTTCGTTGCATTTTTTTTGCTGTGCTAAACTGCAAAGTTCAATTTCCTTTTCCCGGTGGTTTTTCGCTCGCCTGCTATCCCAATCTACGGCGACTTCTCTCCGAGTCATCTGGGTCTAACAGTCGGTGAGTTTCCTTCTCGCTTTTGCTTTTCTGTTTCGTCTCAGTATCCGTAACAAAAACCTTCGCTATTTACCAATGGCGATCTTAGAATCGCTTGTCTCGTCTCGTCTTTTCTTTTAACTTTAACTTATGTAGAGACTCCGATGGTCCAGTAGATAACGGTATTTGTATTCTGTGTTGTTTTCATGGTGGATTCGATTTGTTCGGGGGTTTCTGGGTGCCACTCTGGAATTTTCGCCAATCTCACCAATCTCCCAAAGTTTAGAGTGTTTTATTTGTGTAAATTGATGGATGAATATCAAATTCATTGTCAAAAATCTTACTACATTATGCTCTCTGAGCCTCATTTGTTATACCCAGGACATAGGATTTGGCAAATTTTCAGTCTTTGATCGGGTTTAATTCCATCCCCAAATTCAATAATTTGTAGAAATCTCTTACTCAATGTTTTGTTTTGGATTTGAATATCATATATTTTGAACTTATGTAGTTGATCTCAAGACCAAGAGAATGGTTCACCTGATGACTTATTGGGTTTCAGGGAAAGCTTTTGTGCTTATTTTTTGGTCACAATCTTGCTGCACTACGCTTTCTGTGCCTCTTTTTACCATCAGGGCATATAATTTGGCATTTTGTAGTCTTTCATGGTGTTTGTGTCCTTAGGCATTGAACTAATGCAGTTGATCTCAGGACCAAGAACTGGTTCACCTCATGACATATTGGGTTTTAGGGAAGATTTGTGTGCTTGTGTTTTTGAGTTCAACATTCCTCGACATTATGAGTTACTTTATGTGGCTTGTGTCTGAGTTCTCTATCTTGGTCTGGTGCTGATATTTGCATTGTTACCGCCTGAATTGTCAACAGCTATGACTAAAAGAGCGGCGGAAGAAGCACCTCCTTCACCGGATAGCAGTGGAATTGGATCAAAGATTTTGGGTTACTACAGAGATCAAGTAGCAGAGCTTTTGTCTCAAAAAGAGAGGATCCTTCATCATGAAGTTGGGGCCACAACGAAGCCTTCTACTGAAATAATAGGAGCTGAGATCTCAAGTCTAAAAAACGAGAAGTTGAATGCCTTGTTAAGGCAGTGTGTGAGGGATGTCATTCCAGAGGTTGATGAGGTACACTGAATTATTCCGGTATTCATATTTGGTTTGATGATGCTTTGGGTTTAGCTTTTAATGGAGAGACATTGATGTTTTGGAATTCGTCTTCAGATCCAGTCGCTTGCTCGCAGAATGCACCTAACATCTCAATTGAGAGACAAAAACTCACTAATCGATGGGGAGGTAAGATGATACGGTTCTTGAATTCTTTCGTCCGATAGATGTTTATGGAATCCTTTTTGTTCCTCACATTTGCTCCCTTAGGTGGAGGAAGATATACAATTACTTATGAAGTCTGATCCTAGTCTCATGAAGGACATAGCGAGCAAATATACGAATGATGTAGTTGCCAGAGTAATTCTCTAAGGACCTTTCCTTCTTCTGTAACATATAATGATGTAACTCTTGTTATCGTAGCTACATCTATGTCATGCCTGAAGCATATTGTGATGGCTTTGTCTTTGCTTTGACTAGCTGGACAACATGCGGGAGCAGCTTGAGAAACTCCTTGACAATGTGGCCACCACGTGCAGGTATAATATACAGCCTTTTACCTCTCTTTCTTTCTTTCTCTCCCTGACATTCTTCTTAAAGTTGTCTTATACGTTGTCTGTTAACCCTTATTAGCAGAACTATGAGCCGAGGCGAGAAGCGAGATCTTCAAAAATCAATCAAGGAGCTTCCTGGAGAAAATCTCAAACGTGTTATTGAAATCATCAAAGACCACTATGTAGCTTCGGGGAAAGAATTTTCTGATGAGGTTATAGTCAACATGGAGGAGGAAGTAAGGCATCACAAAATCTGACATAGACTCCTCTTGGTCCAATCATCCATTTGAATAACTTATTAACACAACTTTAAAAACAAAATGTCTGTTTCAGGACAGCATAATGGTTTCGAGATTGCATTTCTGTGTTGGCGCAGTGAAGAATGCTCGGAAACTCGCAAGCTAAGTGGTTACAGGTACATATCAAATGCTCCTTAATTCCATGGCCAAAGTTAATGACAAGGAGAAAAAAGTTGTTAGGTGCAGAGATTTCACTGTTGCCCGAGTTTTAACTAAGTTGTTAGGTGAAAACTAAGAATTTTAACTAGAACTAAGGCTAACAACTTAGGCCATGGGTTTTCTTAGAATTTTAACTAGAAAGATCCGACCGGTTGTGGTTCAGTACAGAGATTTCACTGTTGTCTTGCGCCGGACAGAGAAACTGCCGATATGAAGTTTTGTTTATTGAAGTTTTTGTTCTTTACAATCTATTTTTCTTTCTCTACATTTTGAAGATCCAAAGCTATGACTCCTTTTGATTTGACTCTGGGATCCAACTTTCTGAATAATGCGATTTTATTGATAACAATGAGCCGAATAATTGCAAGAAATGAAGCCGAGAAAATACTAAAAGGAGATTTCCGAAAAAGAGGATCTCTGAACGAGAAATCTCCAAGTGAGAATCCTAAAGTGAGAATCTCAAAAATGAGAACCTCAAAATGAAAACCTAAAAATGAGAATCTAAAGAAAAATGACGATTGTTTAGAGCTTAATTTTGTAAATCTAAGAAAAAATGTATTTTTCGTACTAGAATTACAGTTTTATTTATTAATAAACTAAGGCGGTGGTTCAAATGAGCTTCGCGGGCTTTCGGCTGAACCATCGCTGATGGACTCTGTCTTCGAATCTGGGCCACCAATTTCTACTTTTCATTTGGGCTGAAACTTGATTTGGGCCGGGCTAATTAAATGAGATCTTTTTGGGTCTGATACCAACAGTAAATTCCTAAATCCGTTTGACGAGAGATCCTGACTTTGAGTCAATGGATTCTTTGAAATTTATTAGCTCGACATGAACCAGGATTGGTTCCGAAAGTGGATCCATGTACGAATTTGTTGGTACTAATGCATGTCCCAATGTTGCTTTAGGTTAAAGAGATGCCCATTTTCTTCTTTTCTCATTTGGGCTATAAATACTTCTCAACCTCTTCTCTTATACTTTTCTCTTCACTTTGACACTATTCATCAACAATATAAATTTCTTTCATTTTCTTTCCTTCTTCTAGATTCGTTTTTTTTTTGGTTTCACGTGCCCCCTCCTCTTTTCTTCTTCACACACAGTCGTCGTGAGATTTTGTGGCGTTTTACCTCACCAATCTAGAATCTTGGGGTTACTAGACGTTTGCCGGCTACTGCTGGTTTGAGACTCGGCGGCTTTTATCCTGGTTCTGATTGTAACCTGCTTAATCTTCACTGTTTCGATTTGGAGCTTCACCTGGACGACACTTATTTTGATGATTTATTCAGCGGTTTCTCGAGCTTGCGCTATGTATTCGATGGTTGTCGGCATTTGGTTTTTAGGGTGACGTGGCTGATTTACATTTCTAGGCCGGTGTATTTGAGTTTCAGATTGACTCTTGCCCGAGATTTGGTTAGGGTCGATGTTTCTTTCATTCGATGGCCGACTTGTTTAAAGCTAATACTTTGACTTGTCTTCGAGATTGTTGCAATGGTCGACTAGTAGAGATCGGCCAATAATTGGATCATTGTTCTGGTGCTTAGTCGTGGCTATTGAGGGTCGGCGATTTGTAAATATTGGTTTATTGTCACTCATCGTGGATTGCTGCTAGTGTTGCCTTCTCTTTTAAAGGTCGACGCTTTTGGTGAAGGTTCTGAGGAGGTTGTTATTGGGTTGGCCATGTGACACCAATTAAATGAGGTTCTGCGCTTTGAGACTTGGGGAAGGCCGGCTTCGTTGCTTTATTTAAAGAAGATCATCGTTATCTTCGTTTCGTTGGTGTCGGTGTCAACAATTTAGGTTGGCTACCCTTCATTTTGTTAATCTTCAAGGTCGGCCTTTGTTTTAGCTAGGACGGCTTCCTATATGGTTATTTCTTTTTTATTTTATTTTATTGCTTATTGGTCTTGATCATTTTCAATCTTCTTCTTTCCTTTTTTTTTGTGCAGATCTGCTCTATTTTTTGATTTGAGGCCGGCTATTTTCTATATCTTTTTTTTGGCCAAGTTGGCGCATTTGGCTGGTCAGTCATTTTTCTTTCTGAATTGGTTCTGTTTCAATTAATTTGAGATGATTTTTTAGTAGACAATTTTTTGGGTAGACATATTTAGGTAGACCATTTTCTTGTAGGCTATTTTGGTAGGCCATTTTTATAGGCTATATTTGGGTAAACCATTTTTGTAGGATATTTTGGGTAGATAATTTTCTGGTAGACTATTTTTTGATAAACTATTTTTTGGTAGGCTATTTTTTGATAGGTCATTTTTCATAAACTTTTTGTTTGGTGGGTTATTCTTCAGGTAAGCCATTTTTAGGTAGGCAATTTTTGGTAGGCCGTATATATTTTTTCTTCGGTCGATAACTTGCTTCTTTTTCTTTTCAGATGGGGAGTGATAGAGCATCTGGCTTTGAAAAAGGAGGGTCGCAAATTCCGGAGAGTTTGGAGATGATTATATCGGGTAAGGCCGGCCTTCTCTTCGAATGGTACTGAATTGGCGTCTTCGTCTAGTGGTTCAATGTCGATCCTGTCTCACTGGAAGACGACGATGACCAGAACCGTTAGACAAAGACGCCGATTCAGTACCACTCGAAGAGGAGGCCGACCTTTACCCCACCCGGTGGAGATACAATCATCTCCAAACACTTCACGATTTACGACCCTGATTTTCTTAAAACTAAATGCTCTATTACTCTCCATCTGAAAAGAAAAAGAAACAATTTATCTACAAAAAAAAATACGACCTACCAAAAATTGTCTACTAAAAACTGTTTACCTAAAAATGGTCTACCTAAAGAATAGCCCACAAAAAGGCCTATCAAAAAATGGCCTACCAAAAAATGGTCTGCCAAAAAATTGTCTATAAAAAAATGGCCTACAAAAAAATAGCATACCCAAAATATCATACAAAAATGGTTTACCCAAAGATAGCCTACAAAATAGCCTATCAAAATATTCTACAAAAAATGGCCTATCTAAATACGTCTACTTAAAAGATAAACTACTAAAAATCCACCTCAAATTAATCGAAACAAAACCAATTCGGAAAGAAAAAAGACTGACCTGCATAACCGATTCTCCAGCTCGTTATCCAGGTAAAGTCAAGGTCACACCATATGATAGGACGATAGACCCTACGTAATTCATGCAAGCCTTCACTGTTGCTATGGGACGTACCCAATTTCTTCCACACGAGCGCGATGCATGATATTGTCAACTATTTGTCGAAAACCTAACCGATGCTGCCTTAAGTTGGTTTTTCAGACTAAAAGCTGACTCTATCGATAACTACGAGAAACTATCAAAGGCATTCCTCATACACTATCCAGTGTACATCAAACATGGGCCCCATGAATCTGACCTTTACACGCTCCACCAAGGTTCCAAAGAATTGTTAAGATCATACACAGGGAAGTTTAAGAGTATCGTCTCCAGATTGGTCGTAACAGATACGTAGCCATCTCAGCGCTGCCGAACAGACTTTGGTTCGAATCCGGTTTATACGAAAATCTGAATAACAGATTTAGGACACTGGAGGATACGCTCCACCGAGTAACAATCTTTATATAAATAAAAGAGGAAAGAGCCGAGAAAACCAAGAAATATGCCGCCCAAAACACGCCGACACCAAAAAGAAAAACTCAAGGAGGAATACTACAAGCCACATCAGCACTACGACAGCAACTACAGTTCCAATAAGAATCACAAAGCTTCCATCTTTGCCGTCACCAGTGTGCAACCTAACTCACAGCGGCCCGACAGGTGGAACAAATTCGTTCGAGGAGGCATTCTGGCAATCGATTACGGAATAAAAAAGAAAATTCACTGCAGTCCAGCGCTGGTGACAAAACCTCGACGATGAACTCAAAATGGGTGTCGAGGTATCCTTTGACGAAGCAGATACCGAGGGATTCCACACACCACACAGTGACTCTCTAGTCATCGAAATAAAAATCTGGGACTATGAGGCAACAAGGGTCTTGATTGACACCGGAAGCGCAATGAATTTGATTTTTAAAGAGACTTTACAGATAATAGAAATGCAAGGCTACAAATTAAAAACTACCGTCAAACCACTAACCGGATTCGCCAGTGACCAAACGATGACTGTTGGCACCATCAAACTTCCAGTATACATCGGACGAATCAGCAAGGTAGTCGAATTCATGGTCTTCAACAAACCAACCATCATGAGTTTGGGAACGCCATGGTTGCACGAAATGAAGGCAGTACCGCCCACTTGTCACTCTAGTGATAGGAGCTGAGTTCATACATGACAGAATGCCTCCTATGATCATGTTAATCCTTCGTCTGTGGGGGGGGGGGGGGGGTGGGCTTGGTCAATTATCTTCTCCTTATTTTCCCGTTCGCGCTTTGGTGGTGTCATATCTGAATCAATAGGGTCGGCCTGCTTGTTTTGTGTTGTGGTGTTCGTCTGTTGTCCGGCTTCTGCCTGGATGAGTCGGAAACGCTCTGCTTCATTCTTCGAGTAGACAGTTTTGCTCTGATCGGTAGGTCGCTGGGAGGGGCCGTCGTCTAACTCTATGTGTTCCTTCTTAAATCGCGATACAATGGTGTCGTGTAGTTGATGACATTCTTTGGTGGAATGTCTGTATTGTTTGTGAAAATCACAATATGGCTTATATCTCCCTGGTGAGTCGCTTTGGCCTCTTCGAACGAATTTGTTCCACCTGCTGGGGCGCTGTGAGTTAGGTTGCACATCGGTGATGGCGAAGATGGAAGCTTTGTTCTTATTGAAACTGTAGTTGCTGTCGTATTTTTGACGTGGCTTGTAGTATTCCTGCTTGGGGGGGGGGTGGGGAGGCTTGGCTATTGATCTTCTCCTTATTGTCCCGTTCGCGCCTTGGTGATGTCATATCCGAATCACTAGGGTCTGCTTGCTTGTTTTGTGTTGTGGTGGTCGGCGGTCGCCCGGCTTCTGCCTGGATGAGTCGAAAACGCCCTGCTTCATTCGTCGACTAGACAATATTGCTCTAATCGGTAGATCGTTGGGAGGGGCCGTCGTCTGACTCTATGAGCTCCTTCTTAAATCGCGATACCATGGTGTCGTGTAGTTGATGACATTCTTCGGTGGAATGTCTGTATTGTTTGTGAAAATCACAATATGGCTTATATCCCTCTGGTGAGTCGCTTTGGCCTCCTCGAACGAATTTGTTCCACCTGTCGGGGCGCTGTGAGTTAGGTTGCACACCGGTGACGGCGAAGATGGAAGCTTTGTAATTCTTATTGGAACTGTAGTTGATGTCGTAGTGCTGACGTGGCTTGTAGTATTCTTCCTTGGGTTTCTCTTTTTG